TCTTAACGACAAGGATGGCGTCCTACCTAGAAGACAAACGCCTTCTGAATCCAGCTCGAGCTGGCTTTAGCCGAGGAAGGTCAACCGTAGAACAGCTAACACGGCTGACACATAGAGCGCTACACACTACGCACAAAGGAATGCATTTCCTAGCCCTCTTTTTCGACGTCACCAAGGCGTTCGACAAGGTTTGGCATCAGGGCCTGCTCTACAAGCTCCATCATCAACTCTTCCTACCGACTCCAGTCCTCAGGTGGATACAATCCTATCTTACAGGTCGCACATTCCAGGTTCGAGTCAACAACCAGCTGTCTAATTCTTACACCACTACAGCTGGAGTACCACAGGATCGGTCTTGGCACCGCTGCTTTTTCTTGCGTTTGTCAACGACTTACCTCGACACATACCATCACATGCACATGTCAGCCAATATGCAGACGATACAGTCATATGGCTCACGAGAAGAAATGAAGTCAAGCTAGAAAAGGACGCCCAACTTGTCCTCGATGCTCTTTCATCCTACTGTAAGGATTGGAGGATTTCCACGAATCCTTCCAAATTCTCATACCTTTACGTGCCGAAAAGCATATCCCGAGACACCTACGATTTTAGGCTTTGGATGCATGGGGACCTNAACATTTGATGGATTACTGCAGCTGTATTCCCCGGTTCGAGACAAAAAGTGATTAAGCATTGCTTCACTCTGGGAATATGACAGACGCCTTTCACACTGCGTTGCTACATTGGCAGCCAAACTCTCATTCAAGGTGCGTGTCAGATGAGAACTGACACAGCACTGCCCAACCGTCTAATATATCTGTCCAAGGAATGAAAATAATGTTTTTGATATTGACAGACTCACAAAAAAATCAGTCCGGGAGCTTTATTGCCAGACCTCGTATTACAGGTGCACAGTTGAAGCCAACAGAAAATAGATGAAAAAATAATTAAAAAATCAAAATGATCTCTGTGTTCAAACTACGAAGACCAGTTTGAAATAGTCTCGCATGTTGTGTTCCAGTCGGAACGCTTTCTCTCAGCGTTCAGTTGATTTACGCCGAAAAGTCACATCGTGCTAATACTTTTGAGCGCTACTGTATATATATATATATATAGGTTCTATTAACCAATTAGCTTGATTTTGGCCCATTGAATGGAGAGAAAATCCTTCTGCACTGGGATTTGCAGAGGGTGTGCGCTAGTCCTTCGAGGAATTAGGTAGAGAAGGCCGGAGGGAAGAAGGGAAAAACCTGTGTAGGCGAACGCACCTTCTTTTCCCCCGTCAATATAGTCAGATTACTTCCTGAATAAATTATTCTTCGCAGTCTTCCCTCGAGCAAGTCTAGTCCCAAGCTACCGTGGGGGAGGAGAGAGAAAAACGAAGAAACGAGATAGAGTGCGAGGAGTCTTTCGTCGTTTCTTCTCGCTGGGCTGAATGGACTAATTTAGGACGAATGCAGAAATTACTTCTCTTCGAAATTCTGTCTCGAGAAATTCAAACCCTATAGACCCTATAGGGGTGCACATTATACGGCCCGCGAATCCCTTTTTCGCGGCCCGTCACGACTGGTGGCGTTATAAGAGATACCATGGTTCCTGCCCTGTTGGCCACAGCTATGGTCAACCAGCTGCGGTAGGTGAGTAAAAATCGCAAATGGCCCCACAGCCTTTTGAGTTGTGTACCCCTGCTTAGACAATAGGGTCCCCATATGGGCCGATTTTGTAACTACTGTATATTAGATTCCGTTTAACCGACTTGGCGCATGACAGAAAAACGAGAGACGGAAGTCAATCAATTTCCTTTTCCTTGTCTTAGGAAGAATGCTGCACGAAAAAGACACCACCTCCCCCTCACCAGAATTGGCAAAAATGGAGGAAGGCTACCCGAAGCGAAACACAAAAAAAAAACAGTTATGAAAAGAGCAACCCGGGAAAGAGAAATTTTAAAAGGCTCTTGGAACCTGTTTCCTGGATTATACTGAAATACCCTGTGCCTAAATCACGATGTCAAAAATACGAATTTGATTTCTATAACGCGAATTACAAGAATCTATAGCTCTAGAGCAGTGATGAGCAACCCGCGGCCCGTGGGCCGCATGTGACCCGCGAGGTCCTGGTGTGCGGCCCGCGGGACTTTGACAACTGAATTTTTTTTCCCTCTTGTCTGCCACCCGGAGTGGAGCGCAAGTGCGCTCAAGGATTCCGTTGCCCACTGCAAGAGATACCGAAGCAAGAAATATAACATAAATGCTATATTTCCGCTGCAAATATCCCCTCGATCTCTTCTTGGTCAGTGTATCACTGCTCTCAGAGCAAGCGGCTTGCTTGGTATTTTGCCCAGTAAATATTTGAAAATTTTCAAAATTAATTCTTTGCATTTCATTAACATAAGCCCGGCTTTGTAAACCAGATAGTGAAATAGTTTAAGATTATTTTGGTACTCTGCAGGCATAAAGCCTGTAATTCAGTATGAAAAAAAAAATACATGCTGCCCGCCGGGAACCTGAATGGTTCACTTGCGGCCCACAGTCAAACAAAGGTTGCTCATCACTGCTCTAGAGTAATATACGCAAAATATACAAAATTAAGTGTTTTTTTTTCATTCTTAAGTATGCTATTAAAAGCAAGCTTGAACTTCATGTAGCATTTATGTGGTTTCATCTCGGGAGGACATTTTTTCCTGATACACGCCTGCACACTAGGGTCTGAATACACAAACCTCATTACGGGGAAATAAATGGACCTTTAAGCTAAAGAGCTCTTTTCCTCCCACAGGAGTCCATGAATTCTTAAAGGAAAAAGGAGGCGTTAGCATTCGAGCTTAGTCTTCCGGAAGCAAATATATTTTCCTGGAAGCATTTTCAAGGACGAAACCCAGCCTGTAGGAATGTAACGTAGGAGCTCCATGGAATAATATTAGGACTGACACGATAGCAGTTTTCAAAACATCGATGCATCAACCTGAACTATCGATAGTGTACCGATGCATCAGAGGGGGGGGGGGGGGGGGGGGGTTCAATCTTTTTTTACATACATTCGAGGAACCATCATAGAGATGGTGTCTATTTATCAGACGGTGTCTTGGAAATAGTCCTACAGTTCTTACCGCGATCGGGTGTAGGTTTGTCTTCCATCGTTTCTTGGCTCGATCGGAGCGCGAACCTTTATCCGTCTTCCATAATCTCACGCTTGTGATCCTCGTGCTGGGGAAATATGTGATCTTCGCAAGGAGTAATGAAACCTACCATGCCTTCAATTATCGAAGATGACATCCATTCATCGATGGATGCATCAGGACAGCCTAATTTTTTCTTATTGCCGTTGAGAATCAGTTGCCAAGCCCGTTCACAATTTTTTATATTTTTTTCTTCGTTCTACACGGTCTTCTTTGGACATCGGCGCCGGCAGATAGCAAACCTGCCGATAGTGCCAAACCGGCGGTTGCGAAAACATCGGTACAGCCGATAATAAGCAACGTCCATGAAAAAAATTTACTTTTCGTTCACCTTCAGTAAAGAGTTTAAATGCCCCAGGGCAAGTTAAAAATTTTAAAAAGTTAAACTTGTATAAGATGAGACAGGAATATAGAGAAGGGATTAAACAATGTACGTTTCGAAATCAAGGGAATATAAGAACAGTCCACTTTCGCAGCATGCACCTTATAAGATCGAGCCGAAGACTGAAACAGAAAAAAGAATTCTCGGTCTTCCCTCCCTCTCCTATCCCACTTTCTGCCTCCGATCCGACATGGTTTTTTTTTTCTTCTCCGTCTTTCATATAATCAGTCCCAGCATTTCCAGAATTAGATCGTGATAAATTGCTCGCCCATGCGGGTCACGCCGCCACTTCCTTTCCCCGCTTGGACGGACTGTATTCGCCTCAATCCAATGGGACATTTCCCCTTAAAAATCTTTTGCCGACACATCGCGATGATGAAAAAAATTATCCATACCTCCAACCATCGACAGCAGTATCGATACATCGATCTATCGTGACAGCCCTAGATAATATAGATGTGAACTGCCTTGGGTTAAATTTTAAAGTCTCCCTACATTCGAGGAACCATCATAGAGATGGTGTCTATTTATCAGACGGTGTCTTGGAAATAGTCCGACTTTTCGCGGTATCGAACTGTAGCAATCAAGAATTCTGGATTGCTTCCATCAGACGAAGCAATTCAGCTGACGATCAGAAAATGTTTATTTTTCGTGTACACATTCTCTTCTGGGCCTGGATTATGACAACATTCACATTTCATTCGTAATTGGGTTCTCGAAAATAATATTTCAGCCAACTTCATGTTTTTCAATTTCCTCCGAAAACCCTGAGAAACCAGTCCTTTCATGGACTGGTTTCTCGAGGTGTCTCAAGGTTCGGCCAATTAATTTTGTTTCTGTGTGCTCTCTTTCCCATGCAGACTTCTTTACGCTAACCTCTTTTACATCTTCAGCATAGCAGATTTTTTGGCAGCACAAATATTGAGCCATGTAATTGTGGCATCTATGAGAAACAGTAGGATGCCACTACTAACATCTTGTTCATCTGTTTCAGAGCCAGAACGTAACTAACATTTTTGATGACGTCACGAATTGACGCGGCCTATTACCTATATAATTAAAACTCCCACCGTTGCCTCGCTCCTTCACAATGAAGTGCTCATACCTCAGGTCAGGTGGCGAAACGATTATGTGGGCATGAGCTCAGTCTGCAGACGTACATTCTTATACTTCGTATTAAAAAAAGAGACGGAGGAAAGACAATGTAAGCCCTACTGGATTCCCTCTTTCCTCCTGTCTGATTACTTGAGGGGAAGGCTCGCCTCCTATTCTCCTACTAGACTTGAGGCAGTCTTTTCCTGAACAATACCAAGCCGTCAGAGTCAAGTTGGACTGGTATATTCCCTTCTTTTTTCTGGGTTCGCAAGGGTTAACCGAATGTGCCCGAGAACCACCTTGAAAAGGGATATTTTGATATTTTGAATTGCGGATCGTATGGAATACCGTGACGACTTTGTCGGACATTCCCTTGACGGATCCCGGAGACGTGGTCGGCCTGGAATGACCTCGACCCAGTTGACCGTCGGAGTTCCTGCCGAAGGTCACAAGAGTTCCTGTTTCCGTCAGGACGGCGGTGTGGTAGGAACTCATGGCAACGTCGACGACACGGGCCTGGACGCTGGCACACGGTGTGGGGACCAAGGCTTTCTCTTTTTCATTCTGCACATACAGCATATCACACTCATGGGCTTTAAATTTTAAAAGGACGCGTGATACACTTGGAAAAGGCACATGACGAGATTCCGTGCTGGGAATTGGATTCCTGGACTAAATGGGTCTCATCCCTTAAGGACTTGATAAGAGTCGGATGAGTCTCTCGAGGAAAACCTCGACACGAGATGAGACTCTCTTGAAATTCCCTCCTATCCTAGGATAAGGAAGAAAGGAGATTGAGGACCTGCTTCCTGAGAGAGATGAGAGGAGTAGGTGGGTTGAGGCCAAGCTTGTTCCGTGCGTTATTGCCGCAAGCAAACATGATCCCCCGTTCCGTGAGGAAGATGGTCCCGTCCCCGCCGCATCTCACGCTTTGGATCTGAACGTCGGGTGGCACTGTCACCGGCGTCGGAGACTGACTGTCACGGAGAAATCGACTCGTTTCGGATCGACTTGCAGCGTAAAACCTTTTGACTCGGCCATGCTACTGCATCCCGAGGCAAAGTAGACCCTAGCTATGCAGAATTTCACAAGGACGGAAATTTTCCTCGTCCCCCCGGGCCACCCCCAACAGTGAGTCTCGTTAATTTTAAGTATTTAAGTTAAATGAAAAAGCAAACGTTGACACTCTCGAGGTGGAGTGAAATTGATTTAATCTCGCTTCATGCTGAAGTGAAGAGGTCCCTTTAGAAAAAAGGACCAACCTACGAGCAACCAACCCACAACCTTTTACATGGGATTCTATGGAAGCAAAATGTTACCAATTTTGGCGATCCAAATATTGGAAATTCCAGGAAAATATCACACTTCGATTCCAAGCAACACGACTGCATTCAAAGCCTAAAACAGTCGGCATTGAGGCATACCAGTCATCCTCGTGGCCGAGACCGAGCCTCCCGCCCTCTCCCTTCCCCCACGAGTAGACATCCCCCTCCGACCCGACGATGACCACGTGCTTGTTCCCACACGCCACGGCGTTCACGTCTACGCTCAGCAGTTGCTCTGTGGCAGAGACAGAGGGAAATCCAAGTTTGGATATTCGGAATCGTTCTCGAGCATGTTATTTTCGCTCCCGAAGTCAAAAGCCTTAGGAAAAGTTAGGTACGACCGATCTAGTAGTGGATCTTTTTAGAACGTCATATTTGAAACTGGTTGCATGGAGGGGTATACCATCGAGAAGGAAAGAGTGTGCTAGAAATGTTTGAATAATTTACTATTCTTTTGCCGTTGGCATTATTTATCCGAATGTGACCTTGGCTTTTATCTTGTTCCTACAACCACTTATAAAATTGTTTTCTACTTGAGTATAGTCGAGTAACTAGGAACATGGCGAGTTTGTCGGCGAATTTGACAGGTCACCCCATTAGAGGTCATAAAATGTCAGCTAGTTGACAGTCCCCTCCCCTAGTCTCCAGCTTGGAAAAACAGGGTTGCCACACGCAGTTTTTATTAACAAGAACAGCAGGAATACTAAATGCGAGCAGGAGTGGTTGGCCTCTTAGGAATAACACAGGGACGTCACATGATGAAACTGCTTGCATGAGGAGATCGTAAAGACTGCAATAAAATATATATACTCACCTCTGAAAGGAAGACCCATGTGGCATTCGTTTCAGAATGTCATGTCTCTGACGGTTGGAGTTGATCCACCGACAAAGACCGGGGAGATCCTAAGTGATTCATTTCTATTTTTTTTATTATTTCCGTTTCCTTCTACTGTCCATATTCCCAGTGACTCGACTATACGTATTCCCCCCCCCCTCCTCCGTTTGTCAGTTTGCTTCATCAAGTGACAGAAGTGGTGCCTGCTACACAAATGTAGTGAGTCTTGAAGCGAATTCTCTCTTCCTGTAGAAGTCATGATGAAAAGGAAGCGAAGGAGTGAAACCAGTTAACGAACCGATGAGTTTGGGCTTTGAGGAGGAATTCCAGTCACCGTGACCGAGGCATCCTGAAGTCCCATCCCCACAACTCATCGCGATCCCGTTGTCACTGGCAAAGATACTGAACCCATCTCCAGCTCCAATCCTGCATGCATCCGATGAAAGGTCCACAATCGACTGAGCGAAAAGATGAAAAAAAAATCTATGGAGGGAGAGAGACTTGGTGATGGCCTTGCCCTTGAGCGACTCCACACAGGTCGGCTCGGCTCGCCAGTTTTCCAACATCTCATGACCCAACTGACCTCGTTTCCCCTCTCCCCACGTGAATACCAACAATTCTGAAAGGAAAATCGTCAGGCTAGGCATGGCGCATATGGCCCTAGGGCACAATAATGGACAGGGAATGAAAGACGAAGGTGAGAATGAAAGGACCAGCAGTCAAGGCGACGATGTGGGTGGTGGCGACGCAGACTTGGTTGATTCTCGACCTCGGTGGCAATCGTATCGGCTCCAGATGAAGCTGATTTTGATACGCCTTTATGTAATACAACACTGACCTGTCACAAAGAAAGCATATTTTTTTATTACTTACCATCCAATCAGTCGACCCTTGCTGTCTTCTCATAGGGACTGAAGGGCGAAAAAATCTTAAACACGATGGATATTGACCGGGATCTAAAAAAAAAACCATCATGCGCATTTGGGTTGTTGGATGAAGCGATTTTCTATATTTTATGAAATGTTTACCGCATTTAAATCGTGAGTTTTGGCCACGAACCATACAATTTAGAAGAAGCTGTTATGTCCAGTAATGGGCATCCTTTCAATAACCATTAGGAACATGTAACAGGGAGGGATGGGAGTGCAACGAGCAGCATTGGAAGACATGGCATCGCATGAGTTCAATTAGTAACCCTGTCTCTACTGCCATGTCTTCCCTTTCTCCCCGTTAATCAGTAATGGATGGCTATAAGATGGCAACATAAGCTACGAAGGCTGAAAAGGAAGTGGTAGCTCCGATTGGAGGCATGGCACTCCGGTCCAGGCTAAACGCTGCGCATGCGCCTTGAGGTCGAGATCCGGGAAGGCTGACGGCCTTTCCCGATATGAGAATATTTGCGACAAAAATTCTGCTTTTTGGTACAAATTTGTCGAAGTACGAACTTAGTCTGTATCTTGCCAATTTCAACCACCTTACCTGTCTTCACAGTGGTCAGTCAAACTTCTTGTCATCGTCAGTAAGACAAAGTGAGAGCGAAAAAGAGTAAAATTCCACCGTCGACGAATAAAAGTGTATCATCAACGTCACGAAATCCAATTTTTTTGTCTTAGAGTGCATATGTATACCTCACCTTGGTTGCTTCTGATTCCTGTCGTTCCCGTGACGAAGTGGGAGCAGCAGAGAGAGAAAGGGAAAAAGGTAATTAAAATGCAATTTAAAAAGTGTTGCGAAACGGTAGAACCCTCTCTGTGGTCGAGGACATTAACAAGACAAAAAAAAACTTGATATCCAAATTCGTTTAATTCTACGCATAAATCACGCAACTCTGATCTGTGCTGGCCACCATTTGAATATGATAAACTTTTATCAACTCCTCTGCAGACGTAGCCAGACTCACTTCAAAGTCTAAACAGCGAATGGTTGCAACACAGAATCAACGTTACCTGTAAAGAACACGTTATAGATATTCAATTTAAAGAAATCAAACCTGGATGCCCTTTTTAAGTAGCCTTATTCGTGTGCTTTGACCCCAAAGAGTGTTACTTCGCTTCGAAACAGCACAAATCACGGTGTAGGTCAAATTTTATTATATATTTTTTCAACCTGACGTTTAGTTGGACTGCAGCAAGAGCATTTCTGAATTCGGGATCGCTAGTGGAATCAAATCGGTCCAGTTCGTTCTGGTCGAACGAGATCAAGAGTTCCGGCATCCTCGTGTAGAGGATCTCAGCTGCAGTCGGTCGGAATTCCGGCTCCCTTTGCAGGAGATCCCGGACCAATTGCTTGAACAGGGGCGAATAATTCCCTCGAATCGGCGCGAACTGACCCTGTAATCGTGATCAAAATTGACTTTTGAAAACAAAACCGATATATACGGGTGCGAAGTGTTTTCCACTCTTTTCCCTGGCGCGGTTAATGATAATGGCAAATAATTGATTTTAATTGAGAAATGATATGAAAACGATATACTGACAGATGAGGAAAATATTCTGTCTGTATATTCTCTCTATGCGTTCTTAACCCATTCACTGGCATTGGGCGTCTCCTGACGCCCAGGAGACGCCAACGATGCCTCCATTGACTCCATTGACGCACCGAGGAGGAGGCTGGAGATTTAAATTCCCGATTGTCAGTGAAAGAGTTAAGTTGGGGGTAGGTGCATCTTCGCGTAAGATCAAAGGATTCCGAAAATGTCAGAAACTGGATCAATAAGCATCATCTTTAGGAAACTTTCCAGAGATTAACTTAAATGGAATGAGCTAAATTCAAAGAGGTAATGCATGATGAAACGAAGTGAATCCTTTAGAAACTCCATCTCAGCCTCCCCCGTACCTTCATAATTTTGTTGACAAGGGCAGGGAGATTGGATCCTTCAAAGGTCTTGTGCAGACAGGCCATCTCGTACAGGATGCAGCCCAAGGCCCAGATGTCGGATTTTTCGTCGTACTGCTTCTCCTCGCACTGGACAGGAATATCGATAGGATGCATTCAGTAACACCTGTAGTTTAAGACCTAGATGCATGACTATGGTTCTCTATCTAAAGGTCAGACCGAATAAAAATATATTTACTTTAAAACTACCTAAGTGGAACTGCACATCCGTTTCTACTTCATTGAACGATGAACGACCATTTGCCTTCGAATATAGGGCAACTTAATAGAAGTTTCATCTGAGGGAAATCTTAATGTGTCTTGTGTTGAGAATGCCATGAGCATGACACATGAGACAATCATCTCCTGATGTTAGAGAAAGACACAGGACGTAATGACGAGGGATTACCATTTCGGGACTGATGTAATAAGGAGTCCCGAGGACGGTGTTGGCACCGCCCTGCCTCGTCGTCAGCATCTTCGAGATCCCAAAATCCCCGACCTTCACGATCCCATTCTTCGTGAGAAAGATGTTGGCCGTCTTGAGATCTCTGTGCAAGATGTTGTGCTGGTGAATGTGCCTGATCGCCGAGACGATCTGATGGAATACGACGAGTATCTCCCGCTCCTCCAGCCGTCGGGTGAGCTGCGCCAGCCACGACGCCAGCGTCCCGTTGTCCGCGTATTCCATCTCGATCATGAGGACCCCGTCCCGCTCGAAGCTGTCCAGGTACCGGATGATGTTCGGGTGATCCAGGAGCGCGAGGACCTGGATCTCGTTCAGGGCCAGATGCCGTTCGCTGGCCGATAGGTCGTGCATGTTGATCTCTTTGATGACGACCTGGGTGTCGTCGTCCATCCGTCGGTACAGTACAGCCGTTCCGAATGCACCTGCAGAGTTTTTAGGGATCTTTTAGGAGTCGGAGAGAATCGCCTTTTGTAGGGCGTTTTAGGCAATTAATCCTTTAATTGCGCGAAAACTACTCACTTAATGGTCATCCTCAGCAAATATCTGATTAATTGTATTCATTTCACCTGATAGAATACACGTAAAAAATTCATGAACCTGCGTTATGCCGACAAAAAATGGGATGACAGCATGGACAATTTAAAAGGTATCATGTTCAACTTCATGCTCATGAATCCTGTAATTAACCTTAATTACCATGATTAACCTTAGCATGGCGCCAACATAAAATGACGAACGATAATTCACGAACCTTTGCCGACTTGGCGGATCCGTTCATAGCGAGAGAGGTCCTTGACCTTCGCGCCCATAGTGGTGACCCTCGCCGCCTGTTTCAGCTGATCCTTAAGTTTCTTCACGTGGAAATAGAGCTCACCGACCGTCATCGGCGAGTCCTTATCCGGGTACGGCTTCGACACCTGAATGTCCGCCCCGAACAAATCCTTGGACATCCCCACCGTAACCTGAGCGGGGGCATCCAAGGTCAGTCGATGGTTTCAAACGATGAATTACAGAATATGCAGTCTCTTCGGATCGATTTAGAGTCCCGGAATGGTAGCACGTCGTGTTAAGGCTTTTGGAGTGGTAGTTTTTATTTTCGCATGAGAATCGCAACAGCAACTTATATTCAGGGTTGGGCAGTATTTTGGATAAAATGATGTATATGAGATACTCAAAGAGTGTCTTTATCTTGGATACGGTTGTATTTAAGCATTTCAAGCCGCAAGATGTAAACGATTTTCAATATACACTTCCCATAATTTTTGCACAGTCGAGTCTGGATGAAATTGGCCCAATTGGCTTCCCCGACCAGAATTAGCCTCTTGTCGGCATTGGAGAAACTAAGAGATAAAACTCGCGTGTTTTTTTAATATTCCATTCCGCGAAAAAGTTTCAGGGTCGATTGAGAAAGTAAGGGAAAGGCCAGAATTTCTCTTTTCCCTTGGCTGGGGGGATCGGAAGCACAGGCAGGACCGGCGCGAAAACCCTTGCGTCCCATGCGGCCGCAGGGGACCCCCCGCGGATACCCCTGCGTCCCATGCGGCCGCAGGGGCCCCCCTGCAGAATCCAGGGGCCCCAGCACCAAGAGGAAGAAATAAATAATAAGATAGGAAGAACGAAAGAAAAATAGAAAAAACTTTGTAACGCTGCGAGTTATCCCGGAAGAGATCCAAGCTCTGAACGAGACGGAGAATATTCCTAGGTCTTCCCACACTGGCCAGGCGAGAAGGCCGAGCTGGGCGAAATCCGTCCCCGCATGGAAATAATTGTTATTTATTTATTTTAATTCCTCCATCCTTCCCGCATGAAATCCTCGCGCTTGAAGGCACTCGAGAAGGTGAGAAAGACGTCCGCCTAGAAGAGTCCATCTCGTTTTCATCCCTTTCCGTCGCTTGTCTCCCTTGATCATGTTGTCAAATGTCTTGTATATTCCTTACCGAGTCATTGATAGGGTTGCCACATTTGAATTCAACATAACATGGACGTATGGAAATGTGCGCATTTGTTTGAAGTATGCTTTTGTATGCCGCTATACGCAAATACCCAGAGTCACCTTAAGCCAATGCGCCAATCGATACTATGAGAGAGTGGCCTACTGCTTTTGACTTACGGAAAAGAGCTGTTTTAGCTGCTATTAAGCTTTATTAATTAAAAAAATCCCAATAAGTTTATAATATGGACAAAACAGTGTCCATATGAAGACCAGTATGCAGTATCTATGGAGTATCTGAAATACGTACTATCAATACTAACTATAGATACGAATGGGTAGCAACCCCAATCATCGATGGTGCCCGTGCAAAGTTTAAACACCTTTTGCCCAGGTTACCCTCGACAGCTGTCGATGAGCCTCGCGGTCTGGCCACGCTTTTACCATATCCACTTGATGCTCTCGGAACTTCGCGATTCATTCACAAGAGTGGTCAACCCCGTGAATCCTAACGTGTCCATCGTTCTTTGAGTGCGCCTCACAGCTCCAGTGAGAGTTGCATCTGCAGAAAGAAACGTCTCCAAACTGAAACAGTTCATAACTTATCCAAGATGACGCATGCCACAAGAACGCCTGACAGGACTTCTCTATCGAGAGGGAGGTCAGCAGGTCATTGAATTACAAGAAAGTGATCGATGAGCTGGTAGCAAATGTTCCGAGAATACGAACGCTAAATCTCTGGATAACCTTCACAAATTCCTCTCCTTTCCTTGCTTAATTAAAATGTGGTGATTAAATTTTTTTTTTCCAAATGTAACTTGGATAATCGAAAATGAAGTGAGGGGCAATCCTCCGGAACCCAGAGGTGGCCCAATGCATTTGCCGCAGGGGGCCCCGCATTTTCCCGCGCCCCGGGCCTGGCACAGGTCAAGGTCATCATTTGAAAATCGGTCGAGGACCACGAAATGGTCCTTTAAGCGATTAAATGGGGTTTGGTAATGCGATCAGCAGTGCGCAAAACGATCGCGAGATTCGTTTGAAACATGTCTGGGAAGTGTTGGACGTGAATGGGACGAGAAAAAAGCGAAGGCAGAACGGGCTCCACGCGACCTGAATCTGCCATTCGACCCAGCTTGACCTTCACCTTTCCCCCCCCCCCCCCCAGCCGATGGGGCGAGATGGGGAACCTGTCCTTCCATTTACTTGCTTTTTTTATTTCGGTAACTGCAACTTCTTCGGGGAATTGTATTACATGTAGCATTTCTTCATCAGTATCTTGTATCATTGTTACGATACGTTAAGATTAGGACCGTCACGATAGCAGTGTTCAAAACATCGATGCATCGACCTGAACTATCGATAGTCTTCCATAATCTCACGCTTGTGATCGGGGTGCAGGGGGAATGTGTCACCTTCGCATAGAGTAATGAAACTTACCATGCTTCCAACTATCGAAGATGACATCCATTCATCGATGGATGCATCAGGACAGCCCTAATTTTTTCTTATTGACGTTGAGAATCAGCTGCCAGGCCCGTTCGCGTAATTCTTTTTTATATATTTCTTGGTTCTACACGGTCTTTGGACATCGGCACCGGCAGATAGGAAACTTGCAGATGGTGCCATACCGCCGGTTGCCGAAACATCGGTACAACCCTAGAATAAGCAACGTCATTGTAAAAAAAAAATTCAATTTGAGTTCACCTTAAGTAGATATGAAATGCCCCAGGGCAAGTTAAAAATTAAGAAAGTTAAGCCTGCATACTAAAGGGAAAAACAGGAATATGGAGAGGGGATTAACCAATTTACTTTTCGAAATCAACGGGGTATAAGAACAATCCACTTCCGCAGCATGCACCTAATGAGATCGAGCCGAAGACTGAAACAGAAGAGAAAAAAAATATTCTCGGTCTTCCCTCCCTCTCCTTTCCCACTTCCTGTCTCCGATCCGACATGGTTTTTTTTTTTCTTCTCCGTCTTTCATATAGTCAGTCCCAGCATTTCCAGAATTTGATCGTGATGAGAAATAGCTCGCCCATGTGGGTCACGCCGCCACTTCCTTTTCCCTCCCGGACGGACTGTATTGTACTGTGCTCGTCTCGATCCAATGGGACATTTCCCCTTTAAAATCATTTGCCGATACATCGCGATGGTCGAAAAAACTATCGATATCTCCAACCATCGATAGAGGTATCGATGCATCGATCTATCGTGGCAGCCCTAGAGAAGATACTTGGGTCAAAGAAAGAGTTGGTATCTGGGAAGCGTCTTGCCCAACATTTTTGAAGCGTCTTGCCCAACACCGGCTTTATCGACTGCACTGCTTTGAAGACTCCCAAGACAGGTGATGCCATGGATATTTTAACAGCTGCAGTTTTTTTCATACGGGAAGGGTCGTTGGGAATGGATCGCATTTGTGAAAATTAATCTCTCACTATCCAAAACAACCGAGCCCTTCATCTCACTTCGTTCCATGATGCACATTACAATCGAATTTGCTTCATTCCATTACAACTCGCCGTATTTAGGAAATGTTTGCGTTTCCTGTTTAATTCGGGTTGCCCGAGGACCGAATTCTCTCTTGCAGACCAACGTTTGTTGATGCTCCAGATTCTCATGAATTTCCTGGGTTATACCTCTAAAACTCGGCGCAAGAATGCCCTTCACAGGGATATTCCTGGCATTATTACCGAAATTTCAAGCGGGTGGTCCTGATCGTTGCGTGATTTTCCAATGCAGGATAGACCAATGAGCTGTAAGCAGCCTGATCGTGCTGATCCTTTTTCTGCTTTCATCTGAAGTCGATAAGGCTTGTTGAATATGCCTCTTTAGTGTCAATCGAGAAGAAATCGGAAAATCGTATTCCGATCCTCTTTTCTCCGAACTTTACTACGCGTTGAGTACAGGTGTGACGCATTACAAAACTTCCATCACCAGAATAATTTGTCCCAACGCTGCAACTTCGTATAATAACACTTCACCCAATCTAATCTGATTAGTGTCGCCTCAGCTTGCCTCTATTCTAAGTTCAAGGGTGTATACCGTCACGGATGACGCATATCTCTGAGAGGAGTCCATTAAACATACCGCCCATCACCCTGAGAATATACCCCACCCCAGGAATGTACCCCTCCGAGCACGTTTTAATTCGCGTCTTCGTCCGTTTCCCGGGAAAATAAAAATGTGATCCGAAAAGACTGCCCATCTGAAGAGACACTCGGAGCCAGACGTCAAGCAGGATCTCCATCTCCCTTGCGAGCAGTCCCCCGTCCCTCTCGAGCGCGATGGGGCAGGCGAGGAAGTCCAGGCGAGAGCCCAGTCTGTTCCGAGCCACGTGGCGGGTCACCAGGCTCTTGAAGAACTCCCGCGTCTCCTCGTCCTCCATCACCGTGTCCATGTTCAGCACCTTTTTTTCGGTTTTGAACAAATTTCGCGACGTTGCATTACCAGTGCCAGCGCTTCACGCGTTTCGAGAAAAAAATCTACCAGTTGTCTATCCGATTCATGAGTAGGAAATCAACGGGTGGGCTTTGAAATTTTTTTACTCAGTACTAGTATTATCAGTAGGAGGAACAAAAATAAACTAAAATTAAATTAAAATATAAGTAGATATGGAATAAAATGTAATGATTATTGTTGGGCATAATTGTTTTTTGTTAGTATTTAATTCATCACCAAATAGTATTAACTCTGTCACGAAGAAGTAATGATTCATCACCAGATTTTATTAGTTGGCCATTCAATGATTTACTTCCTCAAATTCTTATTACCATCACCAAATGCTTTCATCGCCAAACCTAGTGAATCTTACACTAAATTCTCCCTCAATATTTTCACCAAATGCCAAGAAACGACCACCAAATTTTATCGACTTAGCACCAAATCATTGTCACATTTCATGTGTCAAAAGATGTAAGTTTTTATTTTAGCGGGCCTGCAGGGCAGAACACACTGACTATCCCGGCTGTGAATCAACATTCCGAGTGAATGTTTGCCAGTCTTGATCCGAACAGGGCACATGTGCATTCGAAATTTGGAGCTCTCACAACTCGGAGGAAGAGTCTTGGTCTCTTCAAGTTCTTCTAATGCTCCAGTTTTCTGATTATATACACTTGTGCACTTTTCTGAACCTCTTCCCTTGTGGCGTTGCCGTCACTGCAGGCAAAGAAGGCGTCTCCTTCTTTCAATGTCCTCAAACTCTCTAGTTGCCATGGCACCTCTAATGCATAGAGCACGCAGAAACTGGAAGTCATCGCCGGACACAATTCTCATACTTGTACACAAGCGCAAGGAGACTAGTTACACAGGTTCTCCCCCGAAGGTCCCCCCAAAGCATGATATGATCTTACAATCTCATATTGCCATCACAGGTCTAACCGGAAATAAAGAAAAATCATTTCCTTGATAGGGTTGCAAATGCTAAAAATGTCAATTTTGATGATGAGAGCATTTTTTTTTGTGCGGGATAATGCAAATTTGGTGACTGACTCCTACGAAGCATTTGGTGAATATTCATTGTGATCTGGTGACGGAGTCAATATTTTTGCGTGCTGAAAATATTTGGTGACAAGTTCATTATTATACGGTGGGCGATTAAATATAAATCATTGTTTTTCTCTACCTCGGTTCCATGGTGTTTCAAAGATTTTGGTTTTGAAAGATACACTGCCCCTCCATAGACCGTGGAACAAAAAATAATATAAATAAAAGAGAAATATATATATTTCAGACATTTCCGTGCCCCCTCCCCCCCAAAATGGAGTTGGTACAGTAGGTTGACCTCACTTTGCTCTTGGGTCCAGTGAGATAGACTCCATTTTCGGTGCCGTGCATGAGGAAAGCCACACTTTCCACCTTCACCCCATTCAGTCGCTTCCCCACCTGATCTGGAGTGCAAGAAGACACTTCACCGAGAGATCCCATAATCCCTACGATGATCCCTACGATAATCCGAACAGATGGCCAACCGAGGATGGACTGCAGCGTGTCGCTGTCGTATCTGTAGAGAACGGCCGTGACCTCGAGTCGAAGGCATTCTCCGATGAGATTCAAATTCCTCACTCGGTTCGAGGCGATCAGCAGCCGGTGCAGATCCGCCGGCGCCGCCTCCGATTGAGTCTTCATCCACGATAAATCGGGAAAGAAATGTTAGAAGACGAGAAACGCACTAAGAGGGGTCGAGGCCGGGTCGACCACATCGACAACAAAGCATTTCACACGAACAGTTAAAGCCGTTTACTCCTCCGACCGCACGAAAAGTGAAATCTATCGGGAAACGACGGATGAAATAAAGAAACTCACCCTGACCATGATGGCGATCGAGGCGTAACCACACTCGGAGCAGTAAAGGTCTGAGGAGGTCCAGGGCCAGGGGAGGGGATAGATCAATGAATGGACTTTTCCGTAGCAACAACGTGGAGACGGCCGACGTGTGGATGTGCCAATTTGGGGGCTCGATCGATCACGTGCTCCATTATGCATAATCCCTCCGTGTTGCCCTTCGCCGCGTGCATTGCGATATGAGATGTCCATGACGATGTGAGATGTGGATGGCGACCTTGGTCCAGCACGAAAGTATCACTTTGCGTCTTTACTTGTTAATGCTTGGGGAGCCGCCAGATGATCTAGTGGCAGTCCCTCCCGCGACCATCTTTAAGAGGCTAGATGCCTTCGTGAGCGAAAAAAAAAGACGATCTGGCAGTCGATGTGCTTCCGCATAGACATCTATCTTGTCTTTCAGGAAATATTCTGACCGTACCTTTGGTACGAGACGTCATAAAGGTCAGAAAAAGCTATTGACCTTATTCAAACCTTGAATCCGCCCATCGTAAAACAGGACCGTTAAAGATGCACGCTTCTGAGAATTCTCAAAATAGAAATCCTACAAAAAAGTTGTATGCTCCTCTGGAATTTTTTATCCCCTCGAACCCTGAAAGCATCCGTCCTCCTTTCTTCCGCCCTCCCATCCTCCGTTCTTCCGCCCTCCCATCCTCCGTTCTTCCGCCCTCCCATCCTCCTTTTTCGTCTTTCTCTCGAGCAACGCGCGTATCCAGGTCATACCTGCTCATACCGAATCCATTTCTTTCGTTCTGTTCTTTAATTTTTTTTGCAGTTGTTTTTTTAATTATATACCTACCCTTCTGCACGTCTAAGACAATTCGTGCGTTTTTGTCGACCCAGCTTTTGTATTCCCAATGGCAAAAACGCATGCGTCTCGCGAATAATCTTGAAGTCACCTCGTTTCCCGTTAATTACACATTTTGGGATTTCATATGTTATTTAGAATATTTTGATCTCTTACCGCTCATCCCCATCGAAGTGATACCTTGCAGCGGACGAATTTCTCATGCCGTAGGTCGTGCAGAAAAAAAAAGAAATGATGGGCGAGAGGGGAGTAACAGACGCGAAGGCGATAAACCCGGAAGAAACTTTCATACATTTATTCACATTAGAATATTTATTCACATTCGAATTCCACGAGAATTCAAGACGATGCCGTCGCTACCGCGAAGAATTATAAACAGAATTGTTTTATATCATTTAAATAATATGTGTGATTTGTCATGACAAATCACGATCGGGAATACACACCATTCAATCGATGGGATCGCTTCAGAATTCAGGGGCAAACATTGTTTTCATCGATAATCGATCTGAAAATTTTATATATTTTTTCAGGTATATAAAACTTGTAACTGCTGTACGTTTGTCAAATGTACCGAGCGTGCTGCAAGCGCCGAAATACGCGAAAACGGGAAAAATTTGATTATATGTATTTCACAAGGTCACGTTATCCGTGCGATGATGGCGAAAATATTTAGAAAAAAAAAAACAAAAAAAAATCGGTAACTCGCGACGTTCGCGACGGGAACCTCATTCCTCGGCTCGCGGCCGATAGATGACGGAATACTTTCGCGGAATCCGCCCGACGAGGGAGTCCGTCTCCGGCTCCACCGAGTACTCCGTGCCGGGGACGGGGCAGATGTCGAATTCTCGCAGCAGGTTCGCGAGGAGGAGGAACAGTTCCATGGTCGCCAGCTTCTCTCCGATGCAGCGCCTCTTTCCTGACGGACGACAAAAAAAAAATTAATGCTTCCGTGCGTTTGGTCGAGAGGGTTCCTGCATAAATTTAGGTTAAAAATTTAACAATATATCGATGGTCGGCTTTCTCGTGTAGTTCTTGGCCCGATGGCAAGCGCACCGTTGATTGAACGCCCCCTGGCGTTCTCAAGGCAAAAACTCTTTGTCAAATTCTATTTCTCTCCAACTCCGCTCTGAGAGAACAATGCTCACATTTTCCCCCGTGAAAGCGTGGCTCCAACGGTATCTGGAATCCATGGAATTGGCACGCCGATGGAAAGTACCTTTCGAAACCCAAACCACTTTACCTCATCGATGAGGCTCCCTCGCATCGCAACCATCCGGCCATTTTAGAAAACCGCAGTCCTCCCTGTAATGGACTATGCCTATCCTCTTCGGGAAGAGTTCCATTACATTCCCATATTACTCCATTACGTTCCCATATTACTCCATTACGTTCCCATATTACTCCATTACTTCCCATATTACTCCATTACATTCCACCTTATCCCATTACGATCCTGCATCACTCCATCTGGGATCTAGCCTCCCCGATGTCGCGATCTTGCTGCTGTCTTTTACAATTAGATTGTCTTATTTTGTCTTAATGAATTTTCTTCTCGTCTCGATCCTCTGGAATCTGATTTCACACTTCCTTCATAGAAGGGAGTGATTCCGGGAATGAATTGGGGAGATGAGAGAGACATCTGGGAGTGAATTCCCTCCTACTGGAGGGAATTCACTCCTACTGGAGGGAATTCACTCCCAGATGACTCTTTCCCTTCGGTCCGGCATTTCAAAAGAAAACACATTTCCTTGCGAATCAGCAACGCAAATAATTCCTGTAAAAAAAAAATGTTAAAGAAAAATTCCTCCCATGTTGTTGAAAAGAGGACCTGTGCTGAAAGGGATGAGGCAGTCCGGCTTATGGAATTCCCCGTTGGAATCCAGGAATCTCTCGGGTCGGAAATTCTCCGGATCCCCCCAATATTCCCGACTGTGGTTCAACGCATAGAAGTTTATCACCACTGTCGTCTCCTAAAAAAAAAAATGCGAGGGATAAACTATCGGATTTCCGAATTAATCCAACCAATTAAGCATGCTCTGCTCCCATGAATTCATGCAAAACTCCACTAATTCACGCATAATTCCAACAATCATTCCTATTAACCACGCATTAATCCGTTAATGAAAGAATCGCTCGCGAAAGATACCTTGGGCAGAGAGAATCCAGCGAGTCGGCAGGGCTCGCTCGCCCTCTTCTGGAGGGAGACGGTGATCATGCTCGGGTGTCGGGTCGCCTCCGCCATGAAGGCCGCGGTGTAGGGAAGCCTTTTGGGTGGAGGTGGAGGGTCATTCGAGGTCACCGCGTCGATCGAGGGGGGGGGGGGAAGAGAGGGAGGCTGACCTGGCCATGTCCTTGAACTCGGGCCGCCTCGCCCCGAGGACGGAGTCCAATTCGAGTTGAATTCTCTTCTGGGCCTCGGGGAAGGCGACGAGGTAGAGCAGGATCCATTTGAATTGCGTGTTCGACAGCTCCAGCGACGCGGCGAATAGGTCCAACAGCGTGCCCTTTATGTGCATGTCTGCGTGCACGAAGTCTATAAAGATCTGGAATTCGGTGAAAGTTCGTAAATTTTTGTTGGTCTCACCCGTGATTTCGCTTCCGTCTCCTCCCCTCGCTCGCAGCGCCTGTTCCTCGAGATACATGTAAACGAGTCCATTCCTCTCCCCCTCCGACCACTTCCGCTTGCAATAATCCATGAAAATCTGCCAAAAAAATCGCTCGTTCGCGTGTTCGACCCCTTCGCGCGACGGAAGAAAGCGAATCGCATGCCTCGAGGCGCCTGTACGCGAAGGCCCGGATCCGCTCCATCCTCGCGATGCCCGTCCACGCCTTCGGCAGCGCCCTCTGCAGCCGAGGCCACAAGAAGAGCAATCCCACGTTGAAGTCGCGGAAGGCCCGGTCCGTCGTCGCGATCAGGCGGCCGTTCTTCTCCGATCGGTGGTCCAGCCCCTCTCCTGAGGAGGGAATCGGTGTTGGTGGGGTGGTTGCAACTGGTTTTAGCGGTTAATTGCGATGACGAGTTGAAATTAGTTCATTTTCAGTTAATTAATTCCGTTGAAAAATACTTCGGGTACGAGGAAATAATCAATATGTACAAATTAAGGCGTTGCCAATTACTTCTAAAATTACGGGTTACTCCTTCCTTTCCTTTGTAATTCTCTGGTCGAAAACGTTGCATATGAAGAAGGAACGTGCACGGTTTTTTTTTTTTTCTTTGACGCGGCTGTAAGGCTGTTGAAAGCAATTTTTAATTATTCGAATTCTCGATCTCGAACGATCGACACATCGGAATCGAATTTCAATAACAAGTGATTTTCTCCTTTTGTGATTGAATCATATAATTACAATAGATCGATTTTCAGTCACCTAGCAAGTAGTGATTTATAGCGTTATTGAAGGCAACACCGACATATTGCGAGAGAGAGACGGGAACGTCCGCCTTCTCCCGGACGATCGCGAGGAACTGGTCCAGCTCGTGATCGACGACGTCCTCCATGCTGCTGCTGCCGTAGCCCAGTTCCTTGAGGAAGCGGAGGCAGAGACGGCGGTTCTCGCTCCAGACGTCGCCGCTCGCCGACACGAAGCCTGGGTTCGGTCGATGCCGTTCGGTGAAAGGGCAAGGGCAAGGGCAAGGGCAAGGGCAGGGCGAGGGCGAGGGGGATCACTGACCGATGTTCTGGTCGAAGGTGAAGTAGTTGACGAGCAAGTCGTCTCCTCGGTCGACCAGGGCGTCCATGTTGCACGAGTCCTTGGCCGACGGGAAGTCGTGGACGAACACCACCTCCCTCGTCCCCGCCTTCACGCTGAATCGCAGATCGAAATGGCAGATCGAAATGGCAGATCGAAAGACGACACCCTCGTTTCGGTTTCCACCGTTTTTCCTACCTGAAAACCGGACCGTAGTGCTTGGCCCACTGCTGAAGCGTGACGTAAAAGGGTCGGTGACGAGGAAAAGAGAGGATGCTGCCGACGAACG